CTTCCCTTCCCTAAGGTTTGGAGAAGCAGTTAATGGAAATCTGGTGGTTGGTACACTGGCCTGGCCTTCTCCATGGGTTATTGTGATTGGTTCATTCTTTTCAACGTGTGGTGCTGGTCTCCAGAGTCTCACTGGTGCACCCCGTCTGTTGCAGGCCATTGCAAGAGATGGCATTGTACCATTTATTCAAGTGAGATTTTTTTTTTTTTCTTTACAATACTTCAAATATGGCTTATATTGTGACAAGAAAAATGAGGCATTGTATCTACTGTTCCTGTAGAACTGTGAGGAAAAGATTTGGACTTCACTTCTAATTGTGTAGGATGATAAATCAAGCTACTGTAGGGCAAAGTTTGAACTTAGATATTTCTGTGCAATGGAATTTAATTATTTTTGTTCTTGCACACAAAAGTTAGTGGTTCAAAAGAAGCAACTAACAACTGAACTTCAGATTCCAGGCTATGTTTACAACTTGTATTTCTGAACAGATTTGATTTAATCTTACTGTGGAACTGTGTGATGATTCTTGTATCATAGGGATACAACCCTAATTTTTATTCATTCTTGTAGGCTAAATGAAGTCAACAAAGATGTAACAGTAGAATTCTATCCCATGACTTTCAACATTAAGATTGTTGCGACGTCCTTGTGTGTGTTTTATGAATAAATCAATATTTATTAAAAATAAATAATTTTTCTAATGGAAGTGAGTAAGGGAGCTGACAAACTGAAGAAAAGAGAACTCTTGCTGGAAGATATTTAACACAATTGCTGGGCTGAATCTGGAAAAATTAGAGAACTAGACTTGAGTTGGATATAAATAAAATTCCAAAAGCTCATGTCTAGAGGGTGAAGCTGTGATTTCTGTGGTGAAGTTTGGAGTTTGAAAGTTTACCTTAAGTTTCCAGGAATAACCCAACAGTTTCACAGCTCAACGATAACCTACCAAGAACATGTTCAAGTAGAAAAAACAGGCTTATGTCTGAATAACTATGAATACTTTGTGCACAGAGTTAGGGGACAGTTGTCAAATTTAACACACAGAAATTGTAGATGTCGCAAACACTGAAGGTAGCTAGGGCTGAATTTAGGAGAACAGGCTGTTTTGTATGGAGAGATTCCTGAGGATGATTTGGAGCATTTGTTTGGTTTTTATATAGTTTTTCAGAGGCTTATATAAATATTTTGATAGACCTAAGTTATGTGAGGAAACTTATGATTGAGTGTGCCCTACTTTACCCACACCTACCTCTGGAGTCTTAATCAGATGTGTGCTCTAGGTCATGGTCTCACATCTGAAGTTGGTGTAGGATGTTATGTTAAAAATGGGCTATTACTCTTGGTGAATAACTTAAGACTGTTCAGAGATATTTATAATTATCTTCAATGAGGGTTAGGTATAAAATAGCAGCAACTTGGTCTGGTTCCTGAGTTTGGGGAAAGCCTACAATGAGTCAACACATTGATGTGTGACTTGAATAGAGACTTGCTCGGGTAGGATGTGCCTCGAAATATTAGTAAACACTTTTCATATTGGAAATGCATGTATTTGCAATTTTGTTTCTAGCTTTTTTTTTTTGTAGTATAGATTGCTTCATTTTTCTTTAACTAATGACTCTTTTTGGTTCCAGTTAGAGTTAATATTTTATAACTATGTAATTGACAGCTTTCCCTAATCTTACTGTTTACTTGAATTGAACTAGGTATTTGGTCATGGAAAAGCAAATGGGGAACCAACTTGGGCTCTGCTCCTCACTGCTGGAATTTGTGAAATAGGGATTTTGATAGCCTCATTGGACAGTGTAGCACCAATTCTTTCAATGTAAGTATGAATGTGGTGTTTTGTGTTAAACAGTATTTAATTTTTAAATTAACTAGGTAATTGTTTTTCTTTTTTAAATAATACATGCTAGACCTTGTTTTCTAACAAGCTATGTTCCCATTTGATCCTGGAGATAATATGAAATGACAAAATGTTTTGACAGGAACTAATTTCTATGCACAAAAAACTTTTTCCATAACAGAGTTCTTCAATGTTAGTAAAAAATATGTTCAACTTTTAAAAACACAGATTTTAAAATAAAAATTCCTGCTATTTTAGATCAAGTGCATCTAATAGAGACAGACAAAATGATTGAATGTCTTAGGGTATGAACTGAATTTAAACTTCCAAGAAAAAGTCAGTAAAATAATCCCATGTGTTACGGGTTGACCCCAGTAGGCAGTTTAGCCCCACACATCTGGTCACTCACTCCCCTGCAGTGCAGTTGGGGAGAGAATAAATAAGAAGGGTAAAAATGAGAAAACTCATGAGTTTGAGGATACCCTTGGTCAGTTGTGGTCAGCTGTGTCACCTCCTCAAGACTTATTTGCTGACAGGGCAGCAAGAAAAACAGAGAAGGCCTTGATGCAGTGTGAGCACTGCTCAGCAACAGCTAAAACATCCCTGTGTTATCAACACTGTTTTGGTTACGAATCCAGCACATAGTACCATATGAGCTATGAAAAATATTAACTCTATTCCAGTCAAAACTAGTACATCTTGATTGTCAGTTGTTTGCTGTTTTTTTCTAAAATCTTTGAGGCTTTATATTGTGCTAATACTGTGTTTTGAGGCCTAATATTCTGCAAGTATTAATTTAATCTACATTTTGTGTTCTCTTGGCTGCTGTGAACATGGTGTACAAGTTCCTGCCTACCCTGTTTTGGATTGTGTTCAGCCTTTTAATACAAATCTGTCTAGTTAATTTCCTATTGGAAAATGTTCTCTTTTTTTATTAACAGGTTTTTCCTTATGTGCTATATGTTTGTAAATCTGGCTTGCGCAGTTCAGACGCTTTTACGGACTCCCAACTGGAGACCTCGTTTCAAGTTTTACCATTGGTAGGGAATATTCCTTCATTCATAAGAGTTACAACAAATTATGCAGCCACAAATTGTTGATTTTCTTGCAATAATAAAACAAAATCTCTGTTCTGACTTAAGTGAGTTGTAAGACAATTCGTACACTGAATACTCTCAACAGCATTTGTTTTCATGCATTTGGAATAGGGCTAGTAATAGCTATGATCATGAAATCGTGACTAATACAGAGGATTTCAGAAGGGACCATGGGATGACATATAATATTGTTTATAAGCCAAGAGATCTTATGAACATGAGAGAAGGAAGATTAAAAAAATCTTTTATATATAGGTAGGGAGAACTAAAAAGTTCAGGGAGGTTGGTATGGTTTTCATTTTAGTTATGCCAAAAAAATGCAGAACCAAAACTTCTTCAGAAAAAAAAATCTCATCTAACATTAATTGTCTCTTTAATGATATGATCACTGTTTTAAAAATGTCATGTTTTAGATATTGGATTTGATAACTGAAGTAGGCGAGTGGATAATTGACAGTCAGTAAAGGTAAATTATACTAAAAGTATGGGTGTGTTGGTTTTGTTCAGTTTTTTTCCTTTTAAATGGCTTTAAACACTTCAAACTAAGTTTGAGAAACTTTGATTTTTCTTCAGTGAATGTTAGAAATGCATATAGTTAATTAATTAACAGTCATTCTATTGAGAAATTTTGGTGTGGAAATGCCTTGAAGACCAGAGTCTTTAGGAGCTGGCCTGATTCTAAGAATGTAAAGATTTCCTTATTATTTTTCTTTTTAAAGAATTGAGTGGAAACGAAATGTCATGGTTTTCGCCCTGAAAAATCATCTTGAATGTGGTCAGTAGGCACTTACTAGTTTGGCACCTAAACCTCTAAATACATCAGTACCTGTCTCCTAGTCTGTCACTGCAAACACCCAGGAGAAATGTGGGACTGCTGTCTTTCTGGGGATTTTTTGGTGGTGGTGTTTTTTTTTTGTTCCACCTCCCCTGAATAATTGGTTGTGCAAGAAGTATAGTAGGAAGCACAGAGTGGCTTAAAAGCTAAAGCAGGGGATAAGATGGAGGGTAGCAAGAGGGAGCATGGTGAGGAAGAAAAAGCGAAGGGTTGTGACATAGCAGCAGTTTGTAACTGTTTGGCAACAATTCTTTTTAATATTTTTCCCAGAGAGATCAGTGGCCAACTGACTCGCTGACTACGTAATCAGTTCTAGCCAAAGCAGGTGTTGGAATGGTTGGCTGGAATTGGGATGGGGGGTTTATTTTTTGAGTGAAATCAGAGTCTTAGGTTGGCTAAGACAAGCATGAAAGAGCAGCTGTTGTTCTTCTAGACAAACTACACTTAGACTGATGTCCTCAGAGCAAGTAGAAAGTGTTTCTTTGGTTTAAAACTGGATGCATTTGCACTCAGTACTTGTATGGTACTAAAGAAGCAAACTAAAGGTACCAAACAAAAGTTGTCTCTACTGACATTCTTTGTCAATAGAATGAAAGCTAGCTCTAATTTGGAAATCAGATGAAAAGAAATTTGTGGTGTCGTATGTGACTAGAAGTATTCACACAACTGTCCAGTTCTGAGCTAGTTTTATTGACTAATAGTGTGAGTAAACCAGATGCATAAACTTTAATCTGGCTGGAAATGCTTCTATAAGTTTTTCAGCTCACAGTCATTCTCTCTTTATAGCCTTTGAAGGATTGTTTTCTGTGTTGTCTTCTGCTGTCCTGTGTTCTTGCCTAAGATACGAGCAACAAGAGATGTGGAGAATATAATTGATGAGTCTAAACTAATCAACTGTTAAACTAATCAACTGTTCTTGCTGGAAGTAGCATAATGTTGTTTAGTACGTTTTGTGAAATTTTTTTAGCTTAAATTCAGATCAACACAACAGTAAGTGATGGCAGTGTGTTTTGAAACTGAGTTTACTTGCTGGTACTGATAGTGTTTCAGAACTGACAAATGTAGTAAGCCTATTGTTATATCTAGTTCAGTTGTATTATTTTTGTTACTCAAAGGTTCAGAAGGTAATTATTTTTTTTTTATAAACTAAAATTGGGACAATGTATTTTTATTTATATGGTAGCTATGAAATGGCCTTTGAAGAAGAAGGGCCTTTCTGGAAGTTAACTTAAATAAGAAATTGACTTTGTAGAACATTTGCATGCCTATTTAAAAAAATGGAAAAAAATGGTTTCTTTTAGGACTCTTTCATTCCTGGGGATGAGTTTATGTCTTGCCTTGATGTTCATTTGCTCTTGGTACTATGCTTTGATTGCCATGCTAATCGCAGGATGTATATACAAATACATAGAATATAGAGGGTAAGACCATATATCTTATTTATTTTATATTTAATATCTTTAACATTCAGCAAAAAGCACTTTTCTGTAAAATAGATACAACTGCAGTAATAGATTTAAGAGTATTCCTTGAAACCAGGTAAGATTCCGTCTCTGTTAAGAGTTATAAGTTTTCGGGTTCTGACTTCTCTGGAAGCTCTCTTCCAAACTTGACAGCCCAAACTAACCAAAATAAGAACCGATAAGGCTGGGAAATTTTCATTTGAGTGGAGATTACGATGTAAAGTTTTGGCACTTCAGGAACATTATCTTTTAATATTATCAGCAATTGTTATAAAACTTACCTTATTATTAGCTTGTGCTAAAGCCCCAAAACTGCACTCTTTTGTGTGCATGTTAGCACTTGTAAGAATGAATCATACTGAACATTCCAGAGTACCCACTGAAATTTATTTTCTGTGGGCTTAGGTAATCTTGAAATTGGAAGATACTTTGAATTTGTATGCATTTGACAAAGCGACATATACAGAGTCACACCTGTAACAAATGATGTGCAAGTAGGAGACATAAACAGCATGCTAAGTTCCTTTAAAAAAAAAAAAAAACCCAACCTAAAAAAAACCCCACCACAAAACCAAAAACCCCCAAGTAAACAACATATACAAACACTAGAGGTGATTATGATCGATAATGTGTGTGCTTTCCCTTTCTAAGGAAAGATACCCAATGCTGAAATATTCTAGTTAAGAAAAATACTAAGATCTTGGAGCAGGAAAATGAAATGATGCCAGTTGTTTTGATGGGTGATTTAAGCACAGGTCTTAAGTGGATCAGCTGGTATAAACCTTGTGGGTTCTCCATATTTTAATATCTCCGTTTCCAGATTAAATGCTTTAGTGGATTCTAACAGCTCCATTTACTGGGTTAATTGTAAGGAAATTAATTTGCCTATTTTAGCCAGGAAGCCAGACTGGATAACAGTTCTGTTTGTATATATAGGTATGCACATTCATAAAATTATATCTACATCCAAATTCATATACAATTCTTTACATATGTTAGCACATAGCCAACACATCTACCCAGTAGAGATTATTTTTTGCAGAAACTTAACTTCTTTTCTCCCTGCCTTTACAAATGCAGGGGTTGATTTGTCTGTGGGGAAAAACTCACCCTGAAATGTTCTTAAAAACTGCTTCCTGGAGAAACCTTAGGTTTTTATTTTATATTTTGGATGACTAAGTAGAAGACACATGATTGCGCTGTCTGTCAGGGTACATTTTGATTGTGTTGTTCTTTAATAGCTTTTGAAATCAGTTTGGTTTATTTAATCTAAATTTCTAAAGAATACTAGAGGTTCAGTGAGAATTCATGAATGGAAGTAAGAGGGGGAGGGCAAGGGATGTGGACCCCTTGTAGAATCCCTATAAAGGGAAGTTAGAATCCCTATAAAGGGAAATAATGTGTTAGCCTAAGAGTTTGTTCTTATTTTTTGGCTGCCTGGAATATAGCATACCTTTATATGGGGAGAAGGAGGAGTGAAAGATGTAGAGAGATGAAAAGTGATCAAAAGGGTCAATAAAGGTTTAGGTTCATCTGTGAGAGAAGCTGGGAAGGGAAGGAAGTGGAGAAAGCTGTAGCGGTGGTGTTGGGGGGAAGGTATAACACACTAATCCATACAATGTCAAGTTTCACTTGTTCATTTTGCTTCTTTAAAACAATTCCTTCTAAGTAGCCCTCGCTTATCCTTGTGCTTAAAAGCAGTTTAAGTAGTTCTCATGATTACAAAAAGCTTTTGAAGTATGAATAATGTAGACCATAATAAATATTCATAAATACTTAATAATTTTGTTGAAGGGACCTGAGACTGCTTCATCTTGATTAGTTTTATTTCTTGATTTAAATCGACGGATTTTTTTTTTCATGCATTCATGCAAAAAAGTGTGTGTTTTATTCCTATAATCTGGTGTGTGAGAAAAGGTATTTAATTTGTATAAATAAATGGGACCCTGTTAATTGAATTTCTTTTGCACCCTGAAGAGCGGAAAAAGAATGGGGTGATGGAATTCGAGGACTGTCTCTGAATGCAGCTCGCTATGCTTTGCTTCGTGTTGAAGATGGTCCTCCTCACACCAAGAACTGGAGGTAAGTCCTACACCTTCCAAGGTCACATAATTCTTGAAATATGTAAATCTCTTGGGAATACTGCTGGTAAAGCTAATGGCCAAAGTGAAATTTACCATTAAAATAATGTTTTAACTCGGGAATGGCAATGATATCATTGCAATGGTATTATTTTACTGCAATAGAATGCAATTTATGGTCAGCATGTAATCAACTTTGAGAATATGGGCAAACTAACTCAAATTTAAATCCATGTGGTGTTGATATATTTTTCTAAAGTACAGAAGAATTTTAATGTTTGATTTACGAGACTTTTCAGATTCAAAGAAGCAGTTATCATTGAGTCCCACTGTCTCTATAGAATAAATGGTGCAATTCCATAAGATTTTTTTTTCTCTTCTATATATGTTTCCTCTGAAATTCGTTGTATAAATATACAGGAGAGTATTTCTTTAAATGATTTTTTTTGTGGCAGTCTTTTTGATATAACTTCATTTAATAGAAACACTTCATAAATTGTTTAGCTATCATTAAAACAATATTTCATATTTGCTGTCCCTTTGTATATAATGGGGTTAGATGTTCACTACTATTTTTGCAATATATTCTTTTTACTTGTTTAACTATCAGTTAACAGCTGACAACACAAAAAAGTAGTTAACATTTAAAAACAAAAGGATGTTTGCATAGTCACTTCTGATGAATATAATGCAAATCAGAAGAACTCTTGCTTGGTGGAACACACAAAAAAGAAACTCACTGAATGTGATACTTTAATTATAGTCACTGCTTTGGGCATATACACATGCAGTGTTCTTTTGCCCTAAGTGTAATTGCATTATTTTACCATTTGACATGGGACTGATGCACATAAGCAATTAATATGAAATACATGAGCTACTGACTTTATCTGTGTCTGAATGTGGCATCTTGGGAGCAGCAGTATAATGTAGTATTGACTAAGAGCATTCCTGTTAAATATCTGACTTTGCTTCAGGTCCAGATGAGTTTGACTGGATGGCCGGGCCAAAAGAGTTGTGGTGAAGGAAGTTAAATCCAGTTGGCGGCTGGTCACGAGTGGTGTCCCCCAGGGCTTGGTGTTGGGGCCACTCCTGTTTAACATCATTATTGATGATCTAGACGAGGGGATTGAGTGCACCCTCAGTCAGTTTGCAGATGACCCCAAGTTGGGTGGGAGCGCTGATGTGCTCGAGGGTAGGAAGGCTCTGCAGAGAGACCTGGACAGGCTGGAGCGATGGACTGAGGCCAGCTGTGTGAGTTTCCATAAGGCCGAATGTCGGGGGCTGCCCTTGGGCCACAACAACCCCCAGCAGTGCTACAGGCTTGGGGAGGAGTGGCTGGAGCGCTGCCAGTCAGAGAGGGACCTGGGGGTGCTGATTGACAACCGGCTGAACAGGAGCCAGCAGTGTGCCCAGGGGGCCAAGAAGGCCAATGGCATCCTGGCTTGTGTCAGCAATAGCGTGGCCAGCAGGGACAGGGAAGGGATCTGACCCCTGTACTCGGCACTGGTGAGGCCGCCCCTCGATTCCTGTGTTCAGTTTTGGGCCCCTCACTACAAAAAGGACATTGAATGACTCGAGCGTGTCCAGAGAAGGGCAACGGAGCTGGTGCAGGGTCTGGAGCACAGGTCGTATGGGGAGCGGCTGAGGGAACTGGGGGTGTTTAGTCTGGAGAAGAGGAGGCTGAGGGGAGACCTCATCGCCCTCTACAGCTCCCTGAAAGGAGGTTGCAGAGAGCTGGGGATGAGTCTCTTTAACCAGGTAACAAGTGATAAGACAAGACGGAATGGCCTCAAGTTGCACCAGGGACAGTTTAGACTGAATATTAGGAGGTATTTCTTTACAGAATGGGTTGTTAGGCGGAACAGGCTGCCCAGGGCAGTGGTGGAGTCCCCATCCCTGGAGGCATTTAAGAGTTGCATTGGCATAGCACTGAGGGATATGGTGTAGTTGAGAGCAATCAGTGTTAGGTTAATGGTTGGACTGGATGATCTTCAAGGTCTTTTCCAACCTTGATGATTTTGTGCGTTATCCTTCTGTTGTGTCAATGTTATTACTAGAAATGGACCATCTCATTATGTCTTAAACTGCTGGTTTTGAGGTGAGAAGTATGTTCCAACTCTTCATTGGTCTTTTGAATTTGTAATAATGACAGGAAAATTATTAAATATTGGTTTGGGAAAAGTAAGCAGATTGGATATTGGTTAAAGGAAAACAATGCATCCTCATCAAGTTGAAACGGATCTTGTATTGCTATCAGTGCAGTTCAAGGCATGACTGTCCTTTTGAAAGGACCTATGCAGGCAGAGGAATGGCTTGACAAAGTACAAAGTACAAAGTCCAGTGCCTGGGACAGTCATGTTCAGTGCAATAGTACGAGGCTGGGAAGCTGTTCTGTTGTAAAGGACCTGTGGTTTCTGTTAGATAGTAAGCCAGCAGTGTGTCTTGGCAGTGATGTGCTGGACTGCATCAGCAGGAGCATAGCTAGTATATTGAGAAGTAAATATCTTTGGAAATAATATTCCTCTTTTCCCAGAACTCCTTAGAATACATCTAGAATATTTCATTCAGTTTTAGGTACCCTAATATAGAAAAGACATCAGTAAGCTCGAGTGAGTGCAGCAGAGAACCACTAAGATGATGTTTGGGGTATATAGGAGCATATCTCTTGTGGGGAGAGGCTGAGGGAGCTATGCTTATTCAGCTTGGAGGAGGCTTACGGGGAACATGAAAGCTGATACAACTAACTAGTAAACATCTAGTACCTAAAAGGTGGTTACTGAGAACATCGAGTCAGACTTCTTACAGCAGTATATGGTAGGAGAATGGGAGAACATGATAAAATGGAGGAAGAAAAAAAATTAAATTGAGATGACAGTAATTAAAGCATTGAAGGTTACCCAGGTGATATCTTTGTCTGTAGAGGTTTTCAAAAACCAGTGGGATAGAGCTGTAAACAATCTGGTGTGCATTCAGTGTTTAACCACTTCAAGCAGCAGGTTTCACTACATGATTTTGGAAGGGTGATAATTTTGATTAAATAATTTTCTTGGTAGAACTATTCTTTAAGTTATCTTTTAATGATGGCTCATGTAGGCATTCTGTACCTTGAGGTGTTGTTGCTGTTGCAAATTATTACTTCCTTGCTTGATAGTTGAATGTTTTCCATTGAATTAAGCACTTAATCTGCATTTTATTGTTAATTTTAGTTTTCCAGTTCTTTCTTGCTTTTCTATATCTGTATGTGTGTGTTTAACTATTTTTCTTGGCAGACCTCAACTTTTGGTCTTGTTAAACTTGGATAGTGAGCAGTTGGTGAAACATCCTAGATTGCTTTCTTTCACCTCTCAGTTGAAGGCTGGTAAAGGACTGACTATCGTGGGCTCTGTGCTTCAGGGAATCTACTTGGATAAATGTTCAGAAACTCAGAAAGCTGAAGAGGTATGTGGAAGACAGCATACAAACACTTGTAACTTCCATTACTATTTAAATGTTGAATCTGGATAATTCATATCTTGAATTAGAGAATACTGTTTTAAAGTATTGAATAAAACATCAATTTTTACTATCAGCACAATCAGTGATTATATGTAAAGAAAAGGTTGGTGTGTGTAGCAAAAAGTTTTATAAAATTTCGGAATAGGATGAGACAATGCTGATACTTCTTAGCCATTTATTTTCTTTAATATTGAAAGCCCTGAGCTCAAACTCAAATTACATTCTTGAAAAAGCCAAGTGATAGGTTTTTAACGAATTACCTTATAAAGAAAACATTTAACAACAACTAAAAAATTTGTCTAACAAATGCAGATGTGTTTGTCCTAATTTAATCCTCTGGATATATACATGATATTATTTTTTATGTTGTCCTAGAAATACATACCAGAGCTAGGATTATGAGCAGTCTTTGCCAGAATCTTACTCTGTTACTTGACTGTAAAAACCATCCTTCTTGAGATCCTTTATTTTCTTCCTGTTTTTTTTTGTTTTTTTTTTTCCTTTCTTTCCTGTTTATCCGATATCTCCAGAGAAGGTAGGACAAGGTAGGGAAAAAAAAGAAGTTGTCATGTAATTTAAGATGACATCTGACTGTGCTTACAAACATAAGTGAATTTGATTTGAATATTTCTGGTTTTTTCTGACAACTTTTCAGTATTTACCTGTGCCACCCTATTGAAACACATAGACATTTTTGTGGGAAGCCCTTGAAAATACCAGAACTTAATTTTAAATTGTCCCCTGAGGAAAAAGGGAAGCTAATAGACTGAGCTAATGGACAAGATCCATTTTTCATACAGCTTGGACTTTTAATGCAGAGCAAGTTTCCTTTTTTGCTAGATCGTAAACAAAGTAGTACACAATTTGTTTAAATGAGTATTGGGGTGGCTCAGTATAGATAATTGTATTTGCTTACCTATGCAAACTCTCCTACTCCTAACTTCATAAAATGGGGAAATATTTTTAGAAAATAGCATGTTTCAAGTATTTTATTGAATACTATTGAAAAATTTGTTGCCTTTAGAAAGCCATTGTAAAGTGTCCAAAAGTATTGCTGTTATGTCTTCCAGAAATGGTTAATATCTTCAGTGTTGTTGAAAACAGTATCAATTGAAATGTCTACTATTTTGGTCTTCAAAGCTGTGTAAAGAATGCCTTGTGACTTATTCAGACCTGCTATCTCAAATGAGCATTTGAGATCTTGAAGTGGATTTAACAAAGCTAACTGCCTCTTTTCTCCCAGCTTTTTTTTTTTTTTTTTCTCCCTCTTGTTATTCTGACTTGTCCCTAGTGGTTTTTAAAATAACAAAGTATGAAGCCAGATGGACTAGCTGATATCATACGAAAAGGCTCCAAGAGAGCAATTAGCTTGAAAACATGGTGGAAAAAGTTTAGCAGCGATTGTGAAAGTAATTGTTATTAAGCTGTTGTTATCAACACGTGTGAGTAGAAAACAAGTTCAAGAATACAATCAGGCATCTGAAGTAAAACAAAGAAAACCTTTAAAGAGAAACTGTTTACCTATGAGGATTTGAAATGTAACTCATAGTTGGTTTAATTGGAAGTCAGCTACATTTTTTGAGAGATGGAACAGGAATGAATTTAAGGCAGACATAATCCTTGGGTTCTCTAGAAAGTCAGACCTGGTGTTAAGATTGAGGAAACTATTGCTTTTAAAATGGAAATGAAGATGAACCGTAAAAGTTTGGGCACCTGGAGGCCTCACTGGTTTTGGAAAATTTAAACTAGAAAATGTTTCTCTAAGATTTGTAGGAAATTAGGATTTATCTTTTTTTTTTTTTAGAAAAAAAAAATCTATTTAAACTGATATGCCCTCGCAGATACTGTTTGCACAGACTTGTTAACTTTGCTACCAAATGCTCTGAAGACTTTTTTCTCTACTAAAGAGAATTTCTTATGTGAAGCCACACTTAGCCAGTGCCAGGCATTCTATGATCAAATCTGTTCCTGATGGTTTTTGATAGGAATTTTGGTGCTTCCAGAATTCTAAACTTCGATGCACTGGTTCTGCCTTCTGAAACCATGCTGATCTCCCACATGAATCATTGATAATGATGGGATTTTTAAAGTCGTGCCATCCAAACATAGTAAATGTCAAAGCTAACGTTCCCTAGTCAACCTTGATACCATTCAGAATCCTACTTCTAAATTACCTGGTTATGTGTTTGTATGTTTGTCAGTGTTTAAATGAAGGGGAGCCAGAAATTAAAAGGGTTGTGGGAGATTTAATCTAGTCAGTTTATCTTGTCATTATTCAGCCAGTGATTCCAGTTGTCTCCTCCACATCTATTTTTCCATGTTGTGAGCTGATAAATAAATAATCAGCATTTTAATATCAAAGTTGTGTAAGGAGCTTTGACAGCCTCTTCTAAAGTCCTTGGCATTACATTTTCCCAAACTCTTCCAATTCCAAAACAAAGGATTTAGTATTCCAAACATATGGTGCTTAGTCAGCAGTTTTGACTTGACTTGAAGCAGTGTTAATTTATTTATCTTTGTTAATGTGGCTTTACTCATACCTTGTTCATTCTCCTTAGGAAATAAAAGGCTGAATAACTAATGTGGTGTCTTTTGGGGAGGTGGATGTTTTGGCTTTTATTTATCATAGAATCATGTTCACTCTTTTGGCATTAGCGGTTTCTTGATGTTGGTTGTACATTGTAGCTAATGTTTTGCTGTTATTTAGTGCTGTTAGTCCATATGGTGTTTATTACTAGTGCTGATGACTGTATTTCCCCATGTGTAATCTTCCTTTTTCAGAATGTTAAGGCCTTAATGGGAGTAGAAAAGACTAAAGGATTTTGCCAGATTGTGGTGTCTCCAAATTTCAGAGATGGAATATCCTATTTGATTCAGTCAGCTGGTCTAGGAGGGATGAAGCACAACACAGTCCTGATGGCATGGCCACAGTCATGGAAGCAGACAGAAAATCGTTTCTCATGGAAAAATTTTGTTGGTATGTGTTTATTGACTTCTGTAATACATTTGTAACTCAACTATGTAACTACTCTGCTGTTTGGAGGAGATGTGATGCTGAATATCCAGTGGACAATTGAATATTTCCCCACATTTGATTTCATGTGGAGTGGGTTTCCTCAGCCCTCAGTCTCTTCAACTGTGGCTTCTCTTGTTCTTTTCCTAAGCAGGTTAGTCACTAAACCCAGGATGTTTCTTTTTTGCCTCAGCAGAATCTGTGAGGATTTAAGCTTTTGAATTTAAAACAAAAACAGAAGCGGTGAATGAAACCTAGATATTCTTGATCAGATGTCTTGTTTTCCCTTGCAGACACTGTACGAGAAACAACAGCTGCTCAGCAAGCATTGTTGGTTGCTAAAAACATTGACTTATTTCCAACAAATCAAGAACGTTTCACTGAGGGAAACATAGATGTGTGGTGGATTGTTCATGATGGTGGTATGCTGATGTTACTGCCTTTTCTCCTTCGGCAGCACAAGGCAAGGACCACAGAAAATGGTTGGGATTTAATTTGCTAATAATTAATAGTTCTAAGGGTTTCTACTGAAATACTCTTTTCACCTTGATAGTTATGCATGGTGATACCAGTCGTCGTGTTACAAATTGTTATAACTTATCTTTTGGTAGGTTTGGAGAAAATGTAAAATGCGCATCTTCACTGTTGCTCAAATGGATGACAATAGCATTCAAATGAAGAAGGATCTTCAGATGTTTTTATATCATCTTAGACTGAATGCTGAAGTGGAAGTTGTTGAAATGGTATGTTACTGCATTTTTTTAAGTGCAGTTGACACTAAACTTGGGAAAAATGTATTTAGCATTTTTGAAACTAAGAGATGTGAGCCCAAATATAAAAAGGGAAAGATTGCGGTCCCACCAAGAACAAGAAGTTTTTAAAAACAACATTATCTACCATGTCACAACGTGTGTATGCACTAGTGAGTTTAATGGTTTTGTTGAGTAGAGTTGAGCCATTTTGATGTGTTAATGCCTACTTTATTTATGAGAGAGAGTTCATTCAGGAAGGAAAAAGCTTGAATCTTTAGCAGGCAGTGAAATGGAAGGCTGAATTTTCTTATTTTAATACTCCATGGCATCCAGCATGAGAGAGGATGAACATGTCCGACTCTCTCCTACTGCTGTATGAATCTCTGGAATAAGCAATCCCTAGGCCCTGTGAGAGTATGTCAGTTCTTTTTGGCATTGCCAGCCTCTTTGTCACTGAACAGCAAGACAATATAGCTACAGATTCACAAATCAAATAGTGACAAAATTAATTTTGTAACTTTTCCACTATTTAAATACTGGTCATAAACTGCCAAAGGGCTAAAGCTGTCGTCTTTCTAGACCTGCTTTTTTTGGGCATCTATGAGAAAACATCATTTCCAGCACTGAGGTGAATAGCATAATGTACAAAGTAAGGAAAAATATTTAAAAAAATTAAAATCTTTTAAACTCATTCTGAAATGGCTTGAAGATGGGGTCAGCTGCTTCAAAACTACCACCACCAGTTCCTGGAATGAACAAAACCTATCAAAAAGATTTATCATGCTAATCAGCCATAAGGTAAATTTTAAGAATAATTTAAATTACTTAGGGAAAAAATGACTTAAGAAAAACTTGGTTATATTTTGAACTAGGAAGATAAATATTTTTATTTATTTTATTTTTGTTTTGTTTACTGAGTATAAAATACTAAAGTGCTGTGTCATGTGCAGGTGAAAGATGACTATAAAGGCTCAGCCTTGGTTGGATTTTGAACAGAAAACAGTATAGGAGGCACAACTTATTATTTTCTTACGTGGGTCATATTTAACCCTGTGACAACACAGATGACCTGATACAGATTTTACATTGTATTTTAACTTTGAGCTGATGAGAGAATATATGCTGGGGTTTCTTCATAAATGCTTCTATTTGTGAATGTTTCTCACCGGTGAAAGGACAATGTTACTTAGTGGCTCTAGACAGTTTTTATGGAAATAAGTGTGCACACATGCTCAGGAGTCAGCAATGCAGACCCAGTTCAAATAAGTGCTTTCAACCCTTTCTCATTTCTGCAGCCTAGTTGGAACAGAACAATGGAAAGTCTGTCCCAAGCACCTCAAATTTAGATAAAAATCACACTGATAACCGGTATAGTAAGATAGCTCATCGTGTGAGATTGCTGTTTGAAGATGAAGTTTTAAGAATTGAGGACAGAAATGACTGATCACTTACATACTTGGGATTGTTCTGATGTCATAAGTACATCCAGGACTGTATAAATGTAGGAATGAATGTGGTACACTGTCTAAGTAATGTTCTTTTGAGTAGTACTTTTCTTCCAGTGTTTCTCATGCCAATCTCTTTTTGAAGCTTGAAAACGATATTTCTGCGTTCACGTATGAGAAGACACTTATGATGGAACAGCGATCTCAGATGCTGAAGCAGATGCAACTATCAAAGAACGAAAGGGAAAGAGAGGTAGGGACTTTGGTTTGGCAAGATGCTCTGTGAAAAATCTGAAAGCAGTATTTCTTGGCTGTGGCTTCTAATAGGTTTCTAACTAGTCAAAAGCTTTTATAACAGCGTTCCATGTTAGTTTCTCTACAGCAGGTTTCAGCAAGGCTAAAATAATGGGGGGTGTGAGAAAAATCCTTTTTTATTTGAGTAAATGTTTAAAATTCCCTGGTTTTGTTAAGACTAGTGCAAGTATTTACTAGCAAAACATTTGAGCATCAGTGTAGAATATATCCAGAGCATTTCTAAACTTGACATACAGCAGTAGTTAAAGATTATGATAATTCAACTTGGCTGATCAGCTTTGTTTGTGACTTGGCCTTCAACCTTATTTTTTAGTTTCTATATTATTTTGAATGTTTTAATTTGGAGCCAAAATTAGTCTCGCTAACCTGTAATCCTGTGATACCCAGATGGGAATGCTATATTTCCTGCTCCCTTACCCTTACTAGTCGCTGATGGTATTTTGCACATTACAGCGACAAGCTTCATGCATCTGTATTTTCAAAAGAATTATTTGTAACTTACATCTTCTTTATTTTTGGTTTGTGCTTTTATACACTCATTTATTCTGTAAACTATCCAATTATTATCAACACTTTATAGTGATGTGAAAGGTATTAAATGCTTTGGCTTTGTTATCACTTCCAGTGATTTCCCTCCTATGCCAAATAAGAGATCTCTCCTGTGTTTAACTGCTCATTGATAAAATAACTAGAATTTTTTTCTTGTGTCTTTTTTTGTCTACTGATAATTATAACTCATTTTATGTCTAATCCTTTTTGGTGTTAATCCTACAAGTCTGTGCAGTTCCTTTTTTTTTTATCTCTCCTTATTCTTTTTTTTTTCATTTCACGGGATTTTTTTTTTTAAGGTTCCTAAAGATGCCTTGTATTGCTACAACAATGTGCTGCTGTAAATCCTCATTCTGCTCATCTGTGTCATGGTAGTTTTCTTTTGATCGAAGTCTGCCTAACATCTTTTCAGTAAAGAACAAGTTTTCCTGTACTCCTTACTGAGTGTTTTTAAGTTTTTCTCATTTGAACACTAGTATTGTTCCAGCTGAGTTTGAGTGATTAATCAATCTACAGTAGGCTTTTAAGGATTTAACTTCCACATGAATACTTTACAAGTAGCCCAAGGACGTAAGGCTCTGTAGTCTATAGCGTATAAGTTGTGTTGGAGACAAAAGAATTTCTTCTCAGCTCTGTGACTTGGTTGGAATCTGCAATACTTAAAGAGTGTTTGCTTGGAAGTTTTAATTTCTTTCCCTGCCCCACCTCCGCCATGTGGGGTGTTTTTTTTTTATTATTACTCACTTTATCTGAATGCAGCCATCACCATTATAGTTTCAGTTTGGTCCTTCATATCAAGCAGGGTAAAATCTGAGATGTTGAAAATACTCAACATTGAATTTATTTCATGGTCTGAAGTAAAATCCTTGATAATTACAAGAACATCTAGTACTTATTTCCTGCCTTGCCCAAGAATAAAAGCCACATTCATCTGTTGTTTCTGATTAGCATATATTAATCTAATGCATTCTTTTGTATTTTCAGAAAACATTTAGTTATAACTTTGCTTTCTCTGGAGTTGCAAGTTGAGTATATGCACTCAGTGTGCCAGACCCTTTTTTGATCTGTTCATCTTCTTTTAAATGAACTGAGCTGTCCCTTCCAGTTTTATTGTGATTTCCAAAACATTTCTCTCATCAGCAGGACTAGTTGAAATTTAGCATTGTTTTTGTTTTCATTATCTGTCTCCAGACATTTAAATATAACCCTCATGATCCAGCTTTGAATGGTGCTTGTAGTTTTGTTTCCTGTTACCACCAACTTTTGTATTTTAATCTCACTTTTGTGCTTGCACCTCTTCAAATGACGTTCAGATGTTTGCAAAGAAGAGAATTTGTTGTTGCACAGTGTTCTCTTGCTGTTTCTTTCACACTTTCAAGTGTTCGTATCCTTGAGGAATCGCCCTCGCCCTCCTCTTCTGTCACTTTTCAAAATGGAACTTTATCTTTCCTCCCGGGGTTTTCTCATGGAACTGGGGCACAGGAGTTAATTGAATTTTTTTATTCCTTTTTTGAGAAACATGGTTGATTTTGCTTCTATTCAAGTGTAAATACAACACATGCCTGAAAAGCGTAAGATCTGCAGACTTGGGTTCAACTGCCAAGCATTTATTTATTTGATTTTTGACAATAGCTCTGCAAAGACAAAAGAAAATGTTCACTTCCTTGTTCACTCTCACTTGTTCACTTCCTTGCTGCCCTTCCTGGTTGTGGCTGGGTTCCTTCTATGTCTAGATCTGACTAATGGGCCAGGTAGTGATATTGTTGGAGCTGTGAGAAGTCAGTCATCCATCCTACCGCTACTTTGGGTCGGGTTGCACAGTGCAAGTGCTGTTGTGCAACTCACTGCTGCTAGGTAAGGTTGGCAGAAATGTGGACGCGTGTAGAGGAGGAGTACAATTATAGTTTGTGACTCACTGGGAAATAAACCAGTGTTTAGAGTCAGAAAGCAGCTTTCTCATCTAAATGAATTTCTTTTCATACTTTTGGTTGTAACTGAATAAAATCAATTAATCTGAATCATCACATATATGAAGAGATGTGATCCTCACAAAAAGGTGAATATTTGATGTTCCCATATTGACTAAAGGATTCAATTCACTTTGTGTTTTCACAAATCTTTGTAAAGAGATTTCATAATTAACTAGTAAATGTTTCAAAAGGATCCTTATGGTGTATTTATAAACAAATGATGTGTTCATGAAAACAAACCAAGTTTATAATGAGCTACGATACCAAATCTCATCTATTTAAGACAGTACTTACTTTAAATAATATGATCATCTTCTTTTTTCTGTAGACTGTATTTTTGTCATTAGTAACCTTTTTGTCCCAGATTCAGAGCATCACTGATGAGTCTCGAGGCTCAGTCAGAAGAAAAACCTACTCCAGTCCACAGTCCACTGGCCAAGATGTGCAGGCCTTGCTGACTAATGATTGTCGGGAGGAGGAGGTAGTTGGACATAGTACTGGTTAGATGTATTTTCCCATTGTGACACTTGAAGTGCCACTATTGCAAACTGAACTACATATGAACTTGATCATTTATTGTTACAGAACAGTTCTTCATAAATTTTAATTTTACTGTTTTTCTAAATTAATTACCTTACCCAATATTTTTTTTTCTCTAGATGATGCTTCTGTGACATGAACTACATCCTATTTTTCTCACACTTAGTCTCCATAAAAGAAACACTTATGTTTCTGAGGACCTGTTTTTCTTAAGACCCAGAAGCAAAGATATTTCTCTGCCTTCTATGTCTTATAAAGTCTTAACAGTGGGTGTTTCATTAATAAGCATATTTCATGCCTTCACAAAACACTGCCCTTCTTTATAGTTCCTATATTGCAGTACTGAAGCTTCTCAGAGACCATATAGATATATTAGGGCTTTTTAAGGGGATTTCTGCTTATTGACAAGCCATTATTAGCCCATAAATGTCATTACTACTTTCTGCCAGGTAAGTTTGAAAGGAAATGAACTTGATGTAATCAAGGGTTTTAGTGTGCACTTGAAGTGTTACTCATATCTAAAGATGTGTAGCCTAGTTTGTAGAAATGCTGTGTACCTTTGTGTTTCCCTTTCTTCATGAAGTATGAAAAGAACGTGTTGTATTCTGTGTAATAAATTTAGTATCAAAATAGCACCAACAAAAATGTGTTTTCATTGTCTTTGCATTTTTAGAAAAGTGTGCTGTAGGTCAAGAGTTTCTGTTGACATCACTATCTTTCTAAAAATGGCAAACTTTCTTCCATTGAGGCATAGTTGTACAGAACTCATCTTACCGTTGTTAGTTTGAAATTTTAGTTCACCGGATACTGCTGTATACTATCTACAGGTATTTGCCAGCTTTTTTCCATTCTCGTGATGGAACTGTATTCACAGTGACTTCTGATTTGTAGTCTTGACTCATGATTTAATCTTCTGGGGAGATATGAAGACTGTCAAACAAATAGATAGTTATATGAACCTCAGAACTGAACTCAAGTGTTTGGGAATCCTCAAGGACAGGGACTAGGAAAATCATTTAGGAAAAGTACAGAGGCTCTTAGGTATTTAAAAACAACTGCAATTACAGTTTGTGAACCATTTAGAGGAATAGTTGTTCAGAGATAGAAAGCAGTTTTCTCATCTGCTTTGATTTTATTCATGCTTTTGATTGTGACCTGAATGAAGTTGATTCTTCTGAATTATCACATATATGGAGGGACATTACCATCACTAACGTGAATAATTGAGGTTCTCAAATGGAACAGGAGCTTCAACATGATTTAACAAGTCTCTGAAGAGACTTCGAACTGCTAAACATTTTAAAAACAAACAAAAACCTCCACCCCCCAACCCAATCAAAAACCACAAAAAAAACCCCACAAAAAAGTCAGTCTCCCCCAAAACAGAACATCCCAAAACACAAAAAACATTCCCCCAGAATAATTCATTTATGATTTTAAAAGTCTGAGGTACTTGTATTTGTGTTGCTTCTGATGGAAATACAGAAGCCTATGGACAAAGTATTATAAGGAAAAGTAAGAAAATAACATGTGTTAAATATTTCTTCCTTCTTTCCTCAAGAGGAGCAAGGGGAATGGGAAGTAGAGAACACAGAAATGCAGGTGCATGTGGGGACAACAATATTGTGTTCTTAAAGTTGTGATTTGAGTTTCTGCTGTTACAAGGGAAGAGAAGGCCCTGTCATGGTTAGACTGATTGGCTTTTGTTGTGCAATATGCACTTGAAAGCATAAAAAAATCTAATTGAATATAGCTAGCCTTCAATTCAGCCAGTCCAATGTTGTGTTACTGGGATCATGGGTCATAGTGGTAGTTCAACCAAAAGCATGTGACAAGAACAGTGTTTTAACACAGTATCTGAGAAAAATAACAATGTAACTGATGAACTATGAGAGCACTGACTTTCAAGTTTTTCACTGGCAAACCCCCCTGGTATTAATAAAGTACCCTCAGGCTGTATTCAACCTCATTTTAGTTCATTACAAAAATAACATCCCAGCCCAGATGTAATCCTGCAAATATAAACAAATAACTACATTTTTACAAGCACTTTCCTTTCATGCTGAATTCAAAATAGTCTGTTATTTGTTCACAAAGTAAGGTGCATTTTTCCGTATCTTCCTTTGCTCTACTCCTGTGAAATTCCTTTTCAGAATTTTAATAACATGTAATCTATAAATGCTCTTCTTGCTGAATCTTGGGATGATTGTTTGTTTTGTGGCCAGGCTCAGCTAATCCATGACAGAAACACTGCCTCACACTCGTCTCCAGCGGTCAAAGCAAGCGTGGCTGCTGCTCTGCCCGAAAAAGTGCAAATGACCTGGACTAAAGAAAAGTTTGTAGCTGAAAAGCATAAAACCAAAGATTCAAATGTGTCTGGCTTCAAAGATATTTTCAACATGAAGCCGTAAGTATACATGTGGTATTTGGAGTTTTGTATTTGATTGTGTGTATTTTAGTGTGTGGGTGTTTTTGTTAGATTTTTTTGTTATTCCATGTTCTGGTTTCTAAGAGATTTTGGTTTATTTGTTGAGTACAATCATGATCTTTCCATGCACTTCACTTAAATGCCATTCTTATGAAACTAGCGTGGACTTGGGTGGAATAACAATGACTGTAAAGAGTCATTCACAACATTCTTGTTCTGTCTTGTTCTTATGTCATTTCCACATCTATTGTGTTTTGTTGGGGTGGAGGGAGTACTAAAGAAGCAGATAGACTCTTTCAAGACATTTAGCTTATGTTTTGTTTTTTGGGTGGAGCCATTGAGGTTTTTTTTTATTTTTACCCCCAAATGGACATTTGGCCCTTATCCTGTAAATTAAAGCAATATAAAATTTGTGCCTTTATGTATGTCATCTTATATTAAGTATTTCCTGTTGAAATATTCCTTAATGTCTTTTTCTTAGATACAAAAGAGATCAGGATTGACACAGGCAGTAGCTCTTATGTAGTAGACACAAAACCAATGACAGAAAGTCACCAGCTCGTTTGCTTCCTCCTGTGATTCAAGCACACACATGCATCTTTTGAGTTCTAGACTATATTTTGCACATGCTCAAAGCAAAAGTGGGAATGTCAGGGGAAATTTTAATATCTAAAGAAAAAATATCTTTATTGTAGGACTTGCAGACTGTAGAGTTTATGGTGTCAATTCTCAGCGTACCTTCTAAATCCTAAGTTGTTTTGTGGATTTGCTCTGAGCACTTTAGAAACAGTTTGCCGTCTGCAAATTCCAAACTTCATCTTGCTCTAAAGCGCTGGTTTTGTTCTGGGCTACATTATGCTCTAACTCTTAGCTGGTTGGGGTTTTTTTTGTTAATATCTTAGAAATATTTCCTATTACTAGTTCAGAATTGTGCAAGATGCAGACTTCATGTATTATTATTTTAAAACTACTATATGTGGTTGGGGGTGGAAATCATAGTTCAAACTTGATGTGCCTGTATAGTATATTAATATTTTTTAATTTAAAAATGTATCTGTTGGCATAACTTTTTTTTTCTGTGCTTTTGCTTTCCTTCCATGTAGAGAATGGGAAAATCTGTAAGTCTAAATTTAATTTCACTTAAGCAATGTAGGATGTGTTCCCTCGTTCTTGTGGTCATGTACATTGTATGTGTGTTTTGTCAGTCATGATTAGCAGTGCTTGTATTCTTTCGTACCTTGTTTTATGTACTGTGATTTAGTATTTATCCCTGAAAAATATTTTTCACTGTGACTTGTTAATGTTTTCTTCTAAATATTATTAACTTTACATTCAAGATAAGTCACAGAACATGTATTTTAGTTTCTGTAAGAATATAACACTTGACAGTACTCCTGTACCAGTGTAATACTTATTTTCCTAATTAACTACCTTAAAAAGTGAATATATTTTTGTTCTGGAAAAATAGACCCCATTATGATATAACTAATTGGACAATAAGAATGAATTTTTTCACAAAGGGAACTTTAACATTTCATCAAGTAACAGTTCTTGCCTCCCTTCTACCAACCCATACATGTGTAGAAATAACATAAGTTCAGATATACATTGGGTATGACAGCATACAAAAACCAAATTGAGCTTCTTATGAAAACTTAGTTTGCTTTGTGTAACACGTATGATTTCAGTTCTGCAGTGCTTGAAGGCTCAATGAAGTTAGTCAGCCTCAGTTCACATTGTACACAATATACCTTTAGTCAATTTGAGCCTTTTTTTCAGTGCTGAATTCTTGCCCGCTCCATCATACACTTGCACCTTCCCTGTTTCCCCTGTGTTCTATATTCAGTTCAACAATATTTCTACTTCAGTATTTATATACTTCTTCAGTTATACACTCTTGCCGCCTTTTCATAGTTGTTCTTTGGTCGTCTCAAGCTGCTGCTGCTCTGAAAAACTGAGCTTCAAGTATTCTTTTGTTCCATATATGTTTTTTTGTGCAGTTAGTTCTTAGGACAAATGGCTAGTGTGACAGAAAATCCCTCGGGAGGAACTGATAAACTCAGTTTTAAAAATGTCATTGTCTTAGTGGGGAAAATGGGATGGGTGGGGTGAAGAGAATCAATTGAAACTGATGGGACTGATCTCCACTGGCCACTAAACTTCAGGCCAAATGCCTTTTTTCTCATTTCCCCTGCAAAATCAAGGATGAAAATACAACATGAGTCATGCTACTTCTAATAGGATCCTGTTAATGGTTATTCCCTTCATAGTAAACAGGACTTAGTAGAACACAAGTACATATGCTTCCAGCATTCTCCATCTTTCTTGGTCCCCTGTGTTTGAATGAACCTGTATCTGGCTGCTGTTCTCAACTCCACACATTTATATAATCTGAGGGTGGCCTCATGTTGCTGAAAGAATCTAGGAGTGTTGGTGTAGTCCCCTGAAATGACCTCTGGTAGTAGAACAAAGTTGTATGTTTCCTTTTGTAAATTTTGGCTTCCTAAATGTTTTTCTTTCGGGAAAAGAGATCTCATTAATTTCTACTGTTTACTTGAGCTGAAACAGTGTTGGGGTTTGTGCTGTAACTTTGATTGCTGTTGGTGGAATTCAAAGGACTCCAAACTTGATCAGATGCTTCAGAGGATGTCTTATTCCTGCTGCTACTAACCTGCCAGTCCTCTCACTGTCACAGGACAGTATGTGAGCAGGGTACAGCTGTGCTTTTACTGTGAGATGACTACTTACAGTGCTAAGAAAATGGCACAGGATAGAGTGGTAAGGTGTATTATACCATCAATGTATCATACCTATGTGTAGCATACCAGTATCTCCATTCTTGAGATGTGCTATCACCCTGTTTTTCTGAGGTTCCCTTTGAAGTGACTCACTTCACTCGTAAAGAATCTGCTTTTGGGCAGTGGATCTTTTGGATAAATGACCTTGGGTAGGATCTGGATATTTTTGTTGCAGTGTAGCATATGACTCATTTCCAGTCTTGGCTAGTTTTACAGAGATGGCAGTTTCTTAGGAATGACAAGGAAACTGTTCTTTTGTTTTGTTCTGAAGAACAACTAAATCATCCAAGGTAGATGCTAAACTAAGGAAATCTCTGAAGTCCCAGCAGTTTTTCCTTCTTGCATACAAATCTTATGACTATTATATTAGTGGACACAACAAGTAAAGCATTAGTTAATATTGATAATGTAAGGGGAGAGGCCCAATTTCAGTTCATTACTCTTATAACATGAGAAACAAGTAGATTTTAAAGTAAATTCTATTCTGTTTCTGAATTTTCTTCACCAGACTTATAGTAATCTTGTAATGTTTCCAAAGGAGCATGAGGGAAATCTTGTACTATACAACATAAATAATGTAATCTTTCCATTGCATTCCAAATCCAATATAATTCCATAGACTGGATTCTCAGTGGTTTTGATTAAACTTAGTTTCTATTGAAATAATTTTTTGCTTCATTGTTGTAAAAGGTAACAGACAATTGAAAGATTTGTGCATTTTGGTGATCTGCTTAGTTAAGAGTTGCTTGAATTTCAGAGTTAAATGTTCTTTTTAAAGAAAAAAAAATCTTTTAAACTAGGTTTTGCATTTTCTAAAATTTATTTTCAATGTGTTCAAATGCTGGTGTCCATGAAAATAGCTTATTTGTGCATATAAATTAAATTTATAAATTCAAACACATAACATAATTCGAGTACATAGGTTATTGTGACAATACTTTAAAATGTTTGTTTGCACACTAGGAATCAGTCAAATGTGAGAAGAATGCACACTGCTGTGAAGCTCAACGGAGTAGTGCTTAATAAATCACAGCATGCTCAGCTAGTTCTCCTGAATATGCCTGGACCTCCTAAAAACAGAAAAGGTGATGAAAACTGTATCCTCTACTACATTGCTTCCATATTTCTTGAAATATGGTTTGATCTTTGTGGTTGTTCCATTGTCTACTTGTCAGGATAACCATTAGTAACCATGTTAAGTATAAGTTTCCTTTACATAAACAACTTTTATTCCACAGTGTTTTAAGAAATATTGCTAGTGGTGTGTTTTGTGTTGAATTTGATATAAAGCACTCCTCAATTTTAAACTTATTTAAAAAATACCTATTTTTATCTCTTCTGTATCTATCCTTCCCCCAAATTAGGCCTTGCTTGCACTTGAGCAAACAGGTGGATTATGTAATAGCACAATAAAGGGTGACACAGGAAAATTCCTTGATAAAATTGTTGAACTTTATTTTTGCATTATACATCAGACTTCTTGAGAGATTTGTGGCTATCTTGTTTCTTTTCTGAATAAATTCCTTGACTTAATGATATTTCAGACATGGAATTTTTGGAAGTTCTGACAGAGGGTCTCGATAGAGTTCTTCTGGTCAGAGGCAGTGGACGTGAAGTGATCACCATTTATTCTTAACCTGTTTGCACACTTTGTTCACCCCAACCCCCCACCCCCACCCCAATGAAAAAACAAAGTTACTTGCCATAATTTGAGCAGCTTCATTAACAGTTCTAGTGCATTGAAAACTACTTGCAAGCTGAATCTTCTAATGATTTGTTCTGGTTTTATATTAAAAATTTATATTTAAATTATATTTTAAGAAGATAGATCTATGTAGAAAATATTTCTGTAGTGAATTAATAAATGGTGGATGGGTTAGGATATTTATATGTAGCATATTCTGATGCCTCTTCAACTGTGGTGAAACACAAGCAAAGAAAGGGTAATGCAGTGGGATTTTTAAGCATACGGAAATGTAAGCAACTTTTAGATGCAGAACAAAGATTAAATTCATCAAAGGAAAAGGTTTAAGGAGAAGTTGACTTCCTTCTTTACCAAAATGCTGCAATGTTGCTTCTGTTGGAATTAGTCCTGGTTCAGGAAACTTCATTCAGAGATGTATACAACCTCTCAAATTTGTATATTATGTGTATAAAGTGTTTCCCTGAAGTTCGTGATATGCCACACTTGTTTTAAATAACATTTCTCTATTTAAAATACCTGGTCAGGTAGCTGAAGGCTCCAGCTGATAGTAATAGTGAACTGACAAGTTGTGTGGGTTTTTTTTCATGAGCTACTAGCAGTTATAGTATATTGCACAATTATACCAGTGAAGCCTAAGAGCATCCAACTCACAGTAAGACTATGATGCAGTAACTCCACCTGGTTGCAAATCTAAATGTAACGATAACCAACTTGCTGTGGTTTAATGAACTGCAGTCTCTTGTTTTCAAATGTGTATATTTTGAAAATGTTGTATAATGTTGTATGTATGTGCTGCTGTTTAAAATAAACTCTGCTTTTCTGAACAGAACGAGCTCTTAAGTGTTTTTCATTTGAAATTGTTGAACAATTTAGTTTAGGTGCTCAGTAGAAGCTTTCTGCTTCTGTTAGAATTCATGCCCCTTTTTGGACACTGTTTAGTTTTGTAAATGTTGAAAATCTAAAGTGTTTGTTGGGTATTGGAAGATTGTTCTCTAAAAAGAATGGTTTTATTTAACCATACATAAACTATTCTTTTATGATACAATCAACATTTCTGTTGCTCAGACTGGGACAGCAGTGATGCAGGGCCCAAATACCTGACTAGTCTCAAGGCCAGTGCTTTTATCACAGCTCTGTCACGCAAAGGAAAACAAGGTTATAAATGGCAAAGCTGAAAGCAGTCATTACCAGTCCCTGTAGTTTGATACATAGCAACAGAGGGAACACAAAAAGATAATCAGATGACCCAGTGAACTTTTAAACAGTGCTGGGGCACACCAAAAGGCTCTTGGAAAGCCATGCTGCACAGAAGGCGGCTCTCGTAGACCACTGGGTGTGGGTGTAGGTTTAGGCTTTGGGCTGGAATTTGGTTTATGTATAGGCATTCAGAAGTACCCTGGGGGCACACCAGGAGCACTCCAGGGCCCCTTAAGTGCAATGAAGGACACATGGAGGTCCTGTGGACTGACCAGAAGGTGTCTGAAAGTGCTAGATTTGCACAATATATCAAGTGCATGAAAAGGCATTCCTGACCGCTGGGAAGAAAAGAAATGTAGTCAGATGCCCCTGGTGCACTTCAAATGGCTCTTGGCTTCTTTTGGGACACATTAAAGGGCACTTAGAGGCCCGTGGTGCAGGGCCATCAGCAGGTGTTCCTAGACAACTGGGTGGCTTATGGTAAAGATTCAGTTTAGGGATAGGCTCTGAGGCCTGGGACCCATCAAAAGCTCTCTAGGGGCCCTTAGGTGCAAGGCAAGACTGATGGAGACTCTGTGGGCATACCAGAAGGCATTTGGCAGAGCCTGGTGTGCACAAAATGTCACTCAAAAGGCCATGATTCAACTCAGAAGCACTCAGAGACCAGTGGGGAGCACAGAAAGTCCTTGATATGCTTCTGGTGCACTTGAGACAGCTCCCAGATATGCCTGAAGCACACCGAAAGGTATTCTGAAGGTCATGATGCATAGCAGAGCTTACTGGTACACCACTACGGCTGTTTTAGGATTGGAATTAGCATTAGGTTTGGGCAATGACTGTGTCTTAACTCCTTTGTACTTCCAGCACTTTATGTGTAGTCAGGGCACCTCCAAATGTCTTTTACTGAAACCTGGGAGCCTCCACATGCCTTTTGGTGTGTTCTGCGGACCTCCACAGAGTGCATGTCAGGTCTCTGCTTGCTTTTAGTTACTTTCCAATTGCCTTATCCCTCACCAGGAATATTCAGGAGAACCCCATGTGGGGCACCCCCATGCCATTGTTAGTGCCCCCACCACACCTGCCCTGAGCTCTGTAGTTAGTTTTTATACTGTCCGGTTTTCCTGTGATAATATCTTTTGTGGCCCCCCAAGAATAAGAGCTTAAGGGTTCAAATGCTTCAAACATTTAGATTTTCATTAGTGAATGTTAAAAACACATATAGTTAATTAATTAACAGTCATTCTATTGAGAAATTTTGGTGTGGAAATGCCTTGAAGACCAGAGTCTTTAGGAGATAAGCTGGCCTGATTCTAAGAATGTAAAGATTTCCTTATTATTTTTCTTTTTAAAGAATTGAGTGGAAACGAAATGTCATGGTTTTCGCCCTGAAAAATCATCTTGAATGTGGTCAGTAGGCACTTACTAGTTTGGCACCTAAACCTCCAAATACATCAGTACCTGTCTCCTAGTCTGTCACTGCAAACACCCAGGAGAAATGGGGGACTGCTGTCTTTCTGGGGATTTTTTGGTGGTGTTGGTTTTTTTTGTTCCACCTCCCCTGAATAATTGGTTGTGCAAGAAGTATAGTAGGAAGCACAGAGTGGCTTAAAAGCTAAAGCAGGGGATAAGATGGAGGGTAGCAAGAGGGAGCATGGTGAGGAAGAAAAAGCGAAGGGTTGTGACATGGCAGCAGCAGAGTTTGTAACTGTTTGGCAACAATTCTTTTTAATATTTTTCCCAGAGAGATCAGTGGCCAACTGACTCGCTGACCACGTAATCAGTTCTAGCCAAAGCAGGTGTTGGAATGGTTGGCTGGAATTGGGATGGGGGGTTTATTTTTTGAGTGAAATCGGAGTCTTAGGTTGGCTAAGACAAGCATGAAAGAGCAGCTGTTGTTCTTCTAGACAAACTACATTTAGACTGATGTCCTCAGAGCAAGTAGAAAGTGTTTCTTTGGTTTAAAACTGGATGCATTTGCACTCAGTACTTGTATGGTACTAAAGAAGCAAACTAAAGGTACCAAACAAAAGTCTCTGCTGACATTCTTTGTCAAGAGTGAAAGCTAACTCTAATTTAATATATATATATATAATATTACAATATATATTATATCTATCTGATATTTAAAATATGCAGGTTACTTGGTTGAAAAGTTTTGGTGCACGATAACTTTTCTTAGCTTACTGAGATGCATACTAGAAATCTTTTCACAAAGCAAGTTTCTCGATGTCTAATGGCCTGTCCTGTAGAGTATAGCATTTTAGGTATGAACTGGATATGTTTTTAGAGAAGTGGGTGTATTGTCCTTGAATTTTCCATTAAATAGTAGGTTTTGGTCGTGTTTGGGTTTTGTTTGTTTGTTTGATACTGGCCCTAGACTCTGGGAAAATACTGCTTTAGGAATAGAAGCTGAAGCACTTTGACTGACTAGTGATTTTTACTGAAATAATCACAAAAATGCAGAAGGAAATGGATAACTTTAATTTCACATGGGCAGAGATGTGCCAAGTTTTCAGAACATAGTTTCAGAGTTCCTTGAAAGGGAAATTCAATAGGTATTTTTTAAAATCCTCACAAGCCCATGCTATACATTTGATACACAAATGACATCTTTATAATAAAACCAGCCTTATTTATTTTTTCCTGAAATGCAATAAGCTAAACCAGACTCCCCATCCAGAAGTCACATGCTTGATGAATACTGAGGGAATCTACACTTGCACTGCTTAAAGCTAACCAAAATGAATGTTTATATTCAGAGTAGGCTTATAACTTTATGAATTTTTTTCCTTTTCCTGTTTGAGTAGTGGTTGACAACACTGCCATTTTAAGTTAATACCTCATTCCTGTGTTGATGTGAAAAATAAACATTCTGCACTTCAGAAGCACCATTCCCAGGAAAATAGAAAATACATTTGCAAAGTAGTTACACAGGTAATCTACACTTTTCTGTTATGTTTCGAGGAGGGGGAAGGAATTTTGCAACACTAAAGTTTTCAGGTCCACATCTACATCTACAGTTCTGGGGACACCTAACTAGCTGATTTAGCTTCTCTCCTCTGTCACAAAAATCAAAGGAACAGCAGCACACTGCTAGTCACTTACATATCTGTTGATTTGGAGTTCCTTCACCAACCATTTAACATGCTATTCCATTCACCATCTAGAGGAAGTGGCCAAGTGATATGAGTAGCCACAAAAGGGACCTTATTAGAAAAGGAAGATTACTAAAAAGAAGAAATGGCCTGCTGAGATGCTGGGGTTTCAACCCCAAGCCCCAAATTAAGGTTGACATATGGGTGATTCCCAAAGTCCTTCACAAAGGGGGGTGAGTTTGCCTTTAGGCTTCCCTCCAGGGTGCCGCCGGCCTGGCAGATAGAGCCATTGGGTAAATGAGCCCCAGGTGTCTGCATTAAGTAAGCAAAGGTCAGGTGTCCCACTTAGGGATAAAAGCTGGGACCACTTGCAGGCAGGGGCAGTGTCTGTCTGTGAGGTGGATGCCCTGTGCAGAGTTCCCTGTTGGGGAAGGACCTCCTGCCTCTCTGGGACTGGGCTCCAGTCAGGTCTGGCTTTTGTAAACGTGGGCTGTGTAGAGATCCAGTATGTGGCTTCCTTGGTCTTATGTGTTTGGCTTCTTGACTTGGTTGTCTCCTGTCCTTTCTATGAAAGACTGCATTTCACCATTTATTCCACCTGTTGTTGATTGTGTGGTGGTGTTGTTGTTGGGGTCAGTGGGACTGATGTCAATTATGCATAATCTGACTGACTTGTTTGTATCCCCAGTGCTCACCCATGTGCTGACCCTTTTGTATCAAATACAATTGGGTTATTGGTTCATCTTTATGCTGGCTGTGTCCTTTATGCTAGGTCTAATAATTGGCAAAACACCTGCCAGCCTGACAATTAGGTTTGTAAACCAGAAGCATCCTTGGAAAGTGCAGATGGAATCATTGAAACATAGCTGTGTACCTAGAAATGGGAGACAGCCTGAGATCACCAAGTGCACCAAACAATGAACTGTATTAGCTAGCAGCGTGGTTTGAAAAGATGAAAAATAGTGTAGAAAAAGGGAAAAACATACTGAGGAAAATAAGAATCGGAGTAACTGCTGTTCTAACTGAAAGAACAGGAAAACAATCTGGAAAAATAAAAATTGATCTGAAAGAACAGAAAACATCATCATCTATTGGCTATTCCAGGTGAAAATCAGGAATCAGTAGCACCTGTTGGCTGCTCAGTGTGGCAGAGTCCTATGCTCTTTCATGGTTCTACAATATAAAAATTACTTAATTTTTAACCAAAATGGAGCCTCTTGGAACTTTTCATCCTGCATGTACTTTTCCCTTGAACTCTCTTTGTGAACTTTCTATGAGATCTTGGACCCTTGCTGGGGATGCCTGGCTGACTCCAGACTACATAATGTGGATAATCTTTGAAGTGAGACTGTCTATTACCTGTAACTTCATTGGCCCTTCTCTGGGCCCACTTCAGGGCTTGGGTTGGTTTGTCCTCCCACCTTTGGGATGGTTGGGTCCCTCTCTGGGATTGATTTATCTTCCTCTCTGGGATGGTTTGGCCCCTTCTGGAATCTATCTAATTCAGTTGATATGAGTCATTTATTGTA